CCTTCTTCTATGCTCTTACATCATACAATTTCACTTGTAAATATCCATCATTTTAAAACATCATTTATCTCACCTAATTAGCTTAATTTTCCTTCCACTACAATTGAACTATCTCAAACTAGGATTTTGATCGCTAAAAACTGTATGTGACGTAGCCAAAACTAAAGAATAGGAATCCAAATAAAGATAATTTAAAAAAATAAAATTTACATAGAAATCTTAATTTATAATTTTATTACGAAATAATTCTCTTATAATAGCGTGTACTCAAAATAGGATTATAACTATTTTAGATAAGCTTTAAATAAATATTTACAAAATAGAAATAATTCAAATTCAAATTCAAATGGGAAAATAACAAAAGCAAAACTAAAAATCCAAAGTTAACTAGGAAAGTAACAAAACTAATAAAAACATAAACTTATGAGTCTACCATAAGAGCCTTCCGAATCTCGGTTGGTTATAATTAGTTGAGTTTTTATAAAACTAAACTTGTAAAACTTTTTGAACGAATTTAAAATTGATTTAGTAATCAGATCAAAAGGTATAATTTTTTTTGTAAAACAAGTTATTTGTCATGACTAAGCCTTTTCTTAGAATTACACCTTTCCATCTAGTATATTTATACAGTGACGGAGCCACTGAGGGACAAAAAAGGGCAATTGCCCCCTTAACATTTTTTTTTTAATATTAATATATTAGTTTAGGAAATTGTTGTTGTAGGAAAAAGAGAAATTGTTATTGTTTATATTTGTTGACTTATATATTAATATAATATAATATAATATATATATATATATGCACAGCTTATTCAATAAATTTTTCCTTTTTTTCCTTTTGATTATAATATAATATAATATAATATATATGCGTAGCCCATTCATAAATTTTTTCCCTTTTCCCTGTTCCCTTTTATTTCTATATCAAATCAATGCTACAACCTTAAAAATATGAAATCCCCTTATTGACAAAGAGTATTTTTTGTTCCCTGCCTTTGCTGCCTTTTTCTTTCCATGAGCTGCTGTATTGTTTTTTTCTTTTCATGAGCTGCTATTCTCTACCTCTCTGGTATGCAAATTTCTCATTAAGTATAGTTAAGCAATTAATTTTTCTTGCTTTTTACTTTGTATTTTAGGTAAATTTTCTTTATTCTTTCTATTTATTTCATTGTTTAATTTTAATTTTATTCTTTTATAATTAGTTACTAAAAATATTAGAGTTTATGATAATTTAGTGGTTTTGATATAAATATGTTCAAATATGTTCAAAATAAATGTTTAAATCTACTAATTTAATCAATTAAATGTTTCTTTTTTTTATTATAAAGGAATAAATGAATATTCATGCAAAACCACTATTATTGGCATCTCTTGCATTGGTAGAGTAGTTTATTGAAATTTAATATTTTCACATGACTTGTTTGTAAGTAAAATATCAAGTAAAAAGCATGTTTTTCAAGAATTGTTCTTCTTACACATGGACTAGGCATTGCTCCTTACTTAAATATGTAGAAATAATTAAGTATAATTTAATCAACATACTTATTATATGCATATAGATATGAATTGAAATGGGTTTTGATTTTGATGAATTGATGTATATTTTGCTATAAATTTCATATGGAAGATTTAGAATTATTGTGTAACTCAACTAGTTTTTATTTAACAATGAATTATTATGTAGTTGTGTTAATTATTATATAGACACTAATGATAATAAAAAAAATCCAGCAAGTTCATATTAAATTAACATGTCACTAGACAAGTATTTCAAGCGTAAATCCTTTGGGGATGAAAAGTCAATCAAAACTTCAAGTCATATAACTCAATCAAGTTCAAAGAAAAGTCATATTGAAATCAACCCTGACACTCTCCTTGCTAATCCTGGCTTAAGAAGACCAATTTATGAATACCATATAAATGATAGGAATGTAATCCGCAGAGCTTATTTACAAAAAGATCCTTGTCAACCTTCACACTGTAATTTTTCTCAAAAATAATTTGGAAATATATCAACACTACGAAGCTTTAATCCGACTTGGTTTGGTACATACCCAACATGGTTAGAGTACAACATAGCTAAAGATGTTGTCTTTTGCTTGTATTATTATCTCTTCAAGTCAAAAGGGAGTGTTGATTCGTTTGTGGGTAAAGGGTTTTCAAATTGAAAAAAAAAAGATTTGATCTTCATATTGGAAAGTCTAGTAGTTGTCATAATGCAGCTCGGATAAAATGTGAGAATTTGATGAATGAAAAACAAGGTATCATTACTTTGTTATTTAAGTAGACAATAAAGAGTCAAAGTGATTATCAAACTCGATTGAATGCTTTAATAGAGTGTGCTCGTTTTTTGTTGCACCAAGGACTTTCATTTCGTGGCCATGATGAATGTGAATTTTTAGGCAACTAAGAAAATTATCTAGAGCTCTTGCATTTTCTTTCCAGAAATAATAAAGATATTAAAAGAGTTACTTTCAGTGAAGCTCCTAGACATAACAAATTAACTTCTCCAGATATGCAAAAAGACATTACTTAAGCTGCTGCAGAGGAGATTACAAATGTGATTATCAAAGATCTAGGTGACTTATTATTTTCAATTTTAATTGATGAGTCACATATCAATCAAGGAACAAATTATTGTTGTTCTATGATATGTAGACAACAATGAACATATAATTAAACGTTTTCTTGGCATTCAACATGTGTGAGATACAACTGCTAGTTCACTCAACGTAGCTATTGAAGCTTTGTTTTCTAAACATGAACTAAATATATCAAGATTGCATGGTCAGGGATATGATGGATCTAGTAACATGCAAGTGAATTAAATGGCTTGAAAGCACTTATTCTAAATAGCAATCCAAGTGCATATTATGTACATTGTTTTGCTCATAGACTTCAATTAACTCTTGTGACTATTACAAAAAAACATAATGAAGTTGGAGATGTCTTTAATTTTATTTCTAGCATTATAAACATAGTTGGAGCATCATGCAAAAGGATAGAGGTTATTAGAGAAAAACAATATGCTAGAATTATTAAAGGACTTGAAAATGGAGAAATTTCTAGTGGACGAGGCTTGAATCAAGAAACTTCTCTTAGAAGGTATGGTGATACTCGTTGAGGCTCCTACTATGTTATAATTATTCATCTACTTGCAATGTTTTCATCAGTTCTTGATATGCTTGAGATTATAAGGGAGGATGGAATGAACTCAGAACAGAAAACAGAAGCAGTCGTTTTAACAGATATTATGGAATCATTTAATTTTGTATTCATGCTTCATTGTTTAAGAAGGATACTAGCAGTTACTAATGAGTTCTCACAAGCATTACAAAGAAAAGATTAAGACATAGAAAATGTTATGAGTTTATTGAAAACATCAAAGGAACGATTCAAAATAATGAGAGAGAATGATTGGGAATCTTTACTCGAAAAGGTGTCATCTTTTTGCATCAAACATGATATTGATATTCTAAACATGGATGATGAGTACAAGTTTCGTGGGCGTTCAAGGCAAAAATCTCAAGGGATTACAAACCTACATCATTTTCGTTATGAATTGTTTAACAATATCATTGGCATGCAACTTACTGAGTTGGATGATCGTTTTACTAAGACGAGTACAGAGTTACTTCTTTGTGTGGCATGTTTAAACCCAAGTAACTTTTTCTCTGCTTTCAACAAAGAAAAGCTTCTTCGCCTTGCTCTTTTTTATCCTAGTGAATTCTCTATAGTAGACCTTATCTCTGTGACCAACTTGATACGTATATTATTGATCTACGTGGTGATGATGAGTTCTCTTGGTATTGAAAGTATTGCTAGTCTTGCAGAGATAATGGTAAAAACAAAGAAGAATTTGATATTTCCATTAGTATATATGCTTATCAAATTGTCATTACTTTTACCAGTTGCAACTGGTACAGTGGATAGAGTTTTTTCTACTATGCATATTGTCAAGAGTAGATTGCGGAATAGAATGAGAGATAAGTGGATGAATGATAGTTTGGTTGTATACATTAAGAAAGATATCTTTGATAAAATTGATAATTAAACTATTATGAAGCGGTTTCAAAATATGAAAACTTGAAGAGAACAATTATAATATAAGTTTTTTTAGTTTAAAAGTATTTTAAAATTAATTTTAATTGATATAAATTAATATATATTTTTTGAATTGATTTTTAATGTATATCTATATAATATAATATTCATTAATAATTTATTCCTTTATTGAAAAAACTTTGACTCCGCCACTGCTATAGTATCCATGGGGTTCAAATATAGTAAATCTATATCCAGATTTATCAAATGCTCTTGTATCAGCCTGTAATTTTCAAGCATGTATCCAGAGACCTGGTGCTTTGTTCTTAAGGTTGTTCTGACAGTTTCTCTGATGGTACAGAGAAGAAAGATGGTAATTCGTGTTTAAATTTCAAAGTAAATCCCGTAATGAACAACAGCTTCATGTTAAACCTCCATTAGATGATAATATTTTCCAAGTTTATATGGAACCGTTCCATCTTTTGATGAAGTCGACGCTTTCATCTTGACAGAAAATCCCATCTTAAGTAGGATTTTATTCTTAATTACTGGAGTGCAATTTTATTCTCCTTCTACGGTGATCATTTAGATAAAATTTAAAAGAATTGCTTCCATTTTTAAGTAAAATTGATTATCTAATCTAGTAATCTTCACTTCAACCTCTTAGCCCCTCTTTACGTAAGTGGCATGTATCCTCTCATGTGTTAATGTAACAACGATTTTCACACTGTTGAATCTTTCAGTTTTCTTTTTCTTCCAAAAAAATTGCTAAGCATGAGGATGATAATGCCCTTAAGGTTACTACTGCTATGCATTTAGGCTTGTGGGCCAACTCTCGAGACCTGGGATTAATAATATTTCCATGTGTGCCTGGATGTGACGCTCAATGAGCAGGGAAAGGTTGCTGGTATCAATCACCACCGTGATCAATTTTTCATCAAGTCATATCTAAAACAAGAGAGATTATTGAACAGCACACAGGGAACATAAAACCCAAAACAGAACCCCATTTATAATCTTGAGTTTTATATCTGCATAATAGATGGAGAATATTTACATCTCTCTATTCTGCTACAGAATTCTTCAACACTTCTTTTTTTTCTGCAGAACAGAGAATGTATTAATTTTTTTATCTGCACAATAATCTTCTTGTGAATAACAGTGATTCAGTTGGAAAATTTCTCACAATAAGCAAAGAAGTGGAAGCAAAAGATTAATTTGTAAGATGATCGCGGGAGAAAATCTCCCAGAAACGAGAGTTCTAGGAGCAGCTCCAAATAACCATTTTCTTTCTTGTAGCCTCCAGACCCACCAATATTCAGTACCTCACTGGCGAGCCACTGAATCACTTTCACGAGCTTTTACACTGATGGCATTTGGACTTCATGTCCAATTGCTTAGGCACAGAAGTTATCCTAACTATCGCAACATTAGAAAAAGAAAGGCATCTTTAGAACTAACTGAATTGCAAAGTTAATGGAGCTCAAAAGCAAACTTGGCATAAGAAACACTTGTTTTAACGAATTAAGGTTTAGTGCTTATATGTGCAAGAAATTTCTAGGGAATTCGTGAAATTTCTAGGGAATTCGTGAATTATATAATACATTAGCAAATTAAGCAGCTAATGTCCAGAAACACAAGCAGTCAATCTGACAAGAGGCCTAAAACCCACTTTAGTACCTCCACTATTTCAATATCGAAACATCATGAAGTTAATCTATGTTAATTCCTGACGAGGAATAGTCACAAGAATTAACCAAGTCTGGCCAAAATCTCACAATCTCAAAATCAATTCAAAATGTTAGATAAAATTCTACACACACCTCATTGTCAATCAGCAACAGATGGGGCATTGCAGCAGCCCATTCTCATTGCACTCACCACATCTAACCATCTTCTTCTGCTCCTTGTGCAAAACCTTGCAGCTCCCATTACACTCCACACACATCACAAACCTAACCCCAGCACACCCTTCACATCTTCCAGCGAGCCCTTTCGGGATTCCATCAAACAGAATCTCCAACTTTCCTTCCTCTTCCAACTTTACCACTTGGTCAGCACCACCAATCAACCTCCCTTTAACAAACACAAGTGGAACTTTGACTTCATTCGTACCCATTAGCCCTCTTAACTCTTCCTTAAAGCCAGAATCCATGGAAACATCTCTTTCAACAACATGAATATGATGTGACTCAATAATTGATCTTACGGTGTTGCAATCTTCAAATGTTTTTCTAATTCCTCTCAATGTAGTAGTGTAAATCACGACCTTATTTTCCCCTCCAGGCGGGCGTTTTTGTTCGAAAGACTGAAGGATAGATTCCAAATCTCGCAAATTCTTTACTTTTGTGGTTCTTGAACTTGGTAAAATTATCCTCTCGATTTCTTCTTCTTCTTCTTCTTCTTCGGACAAGTCTTTCTCATATAATGCAACAAGTTCTGGATCGAACAGAGGACTAAAACTACTCCTCCTCCTCGGAGAGAATCCAGATTCACTTCTAACATTCTCTGTTTTAGCCCCAAAGGGAGACGCTTTCACTGGATAACTCAATCTCAACACTGCCTTGCACGAATTCCTTGATGAATTGTTGGCCTTTAAAACCGGTCTAGGGCTAAAATCTGATGATCTCTTTACCTTATTTTCTTTGCCACCATAAGTTTTCGCCTTTCTTGGAGACCCAATTTGATTCAAGAATTTGAGTGGACTCCTAAGGTCCAAATCAGCAAACCCACGAAGCAAAACCCTCGAATTTGGACTTCTCTTGGTTTGACTAGAAACGGGTACTCCTTCTTCAAGATCTCCCATTAGCTCCCAAGTGTTAACAACCTCTGGATCTTCTTTTGTTGGCGATATTTGTTGCAATCTCTTGCTCTCTTCCACAATTTCTTTGATGTGCTCTTGTTTTTGTTCTTGTTGTTGATGTTGATTGTTGCAGTCAAGTTTGAGAGCACCATAAGTTGAAGAAGTGAGAGAGACCACGTGGTCAACACACTGGCCGCCATTGTTGAATATGATTTGTTGATGGAGTTCTTTCTTGAAGAGTTTTGAAGAAACACATCCCATTGTTTCTTATCTTGTGGGGTTTGCTCTACTTTTTTTCTTTTTCGTCTGGTGGTTTCTTCAATCTCTTTGCAGTTTTGAAAGAGATAACTGCACGTAAGTAAGTGGGGGAGTAGTTTTTGTTTTCCTTTTCTTTTCCGAAGAACTTAACCGTTACCCTGTGTCTGGTCTGCAACGGACCCAACGGTCGAAATTTTCGAATGTCTTCATTGTTTTGTTAGAAAGCCCTCGTTAGTTTCAGTTATTTCTCTTAGTGTTGCCTACCTTTTCCTGTATCTCCTTTTTGGCCCAATTCTTGTAGCATCCTTTCAATTTGAACCCTTAGAAAGTTGCCTATTAATCACATCATTACAACCATGAAACCTGGTCTCTGCAGGAGAAACAAGCAATTTAGAACCCATCAATCATGTGAGCTTATGGCACGCGTAATAAACAAATTGTACAGCAACGAGTCACTAATTCATGATAAACCTAGTTAAATGTACAATATTCAAATAAGTTAAGGTGATAAAGAAACATCGGCAGTTTATTTTAGCCTAAAAACTCAGTTAAATGTCTGCAGTTCGTGCCGACGAGGGAGCTGTATATATTTTTTTGCTACTTTTCGTCCCCATCTATCAGCTTTCACATCCCTCTGAAACGAGGGCAAGGAAATGCCAGCCAAACATATAAAAATACAGTATACAATGACTAAAGGATAGGAGAGATGGGCATGAGGTCTATCTCTCGTGGCTTCACTGATTTTTTATATATATATAATTAATATTAATATTCAGTTTGTTCATATTTTAACTAATTTTAAAATTAATAATTATATAAAGTTTTAATAATTTTAAAATTTAGCTGATGTTTTTATCAATACTGCTGTTGTTTGAAAGTTGAACATTGAGAGCCTAGAAACCTTTTACATATTTTATGATAAAGTAGCGAAACACTTTATCATTGGCCCTTCTATTTGTATAACGTTTGAGCCGAGAAAATCAAGGTGCCTGTATCTCTCCCTCGGGCCTTGGATAATGACCGTACATTCTTTTACAACAGGAGGAAAGAAATGTTTGTCTCTTCATGTGGTGGATGCTTGCTGTTGTCATTTGATACCCTTGTTCTGATGTTAAGGGCAATGTCTAAGCAACTTTTATAGGTTATTAAAATAATATTTTTATTTAAAATATCTAGAAAATAAAAAAATTGAAGTAAAGAAAAAATCAAATAAAATTTATTTTATTTTTTTTAAATATTCTAAAACACAAAAAGAAATGGAATCAATGCACCATCTGAATCCTATTTTATGCTCTCCTTAACTAAACAAAAAAAAAAAACAATTTTCTAGAGCTGAAGCTGGAACCATCTTTGGCAAAATAAAATAAAGGGTATTTTACCTTCTAAAAAAAACAAAGAATTAAGAATTTAAATATTATTTTGATTTATTTATCTTAATTCCGACTCTGATTCTTCTTCTTCTTCTTTTTTTTTTGAGCTTTTCATTCCGAAACAGAGTTATATGGTTAATGTCTTTTTTGTTTTACTAGCTATAATAATACTCCTATCTATTTAAAAAGAAGAAGAAGCACATTGGCCTCATTCCGTTGGCCTTACTGGGGAAGGCAACTTTTAGAAAAAGGTTCGCCTTCTAGAAATTAAAGAAGCTTTCACAAATAAGACAAGAAACCTTATTGGTGGCTGTTTAATTGGAGTAGGTGGGAGCCATTACAAAGCGCAGTCCTCTGGTACTGATTTATTTCCATGAGAGATCGTCTTCACTGACGTTAATTATTTATGGTTGGGTTTGGTTTTGTTTTTATTAATAAAAATAATTAAATTATAATTTTATAAAATATATAAAAGGATTTGGAATTGAACTGAAATCAGTTTCAACTAATTTTATATTAAAAATTAAAAATTATATATTTTTTTTTAATTTTTTAATAGATTTTTTTATTTGATTCAATTTAATTTTTTAATTTTAGGTTTTTAAAATTAAAATTAAACCAAACCAATTTTTTTTAATATTCTAATTAATTTAATTGATTTTTATGATTTTATTTTTTTAATTATTTTTTTATTTTCTTGATTTAATCAAAAAAAAATTTCTCAACCCTAGTTAAAAGATTGATTGTACACTGGGATTATTGCTTAAACTCTGCATTTGCCGCTTTGCTTTATACACACACACACATTGTGGTGATTGGAGTAAATAGTGATATTATATGATATTTTCGGTGTGCATTTAAAAAATTAGTTAAAAATAACAAAATAAATATTTTATTTTGAATTAACATTCATAAGCATATTTTCTCATAAAATTTTCATATTAGGTTTATATATTCACAAAGTAATTATTAATATTAAAAACAAATGATCATATTTCAAAACAATAGCAAAATTAGATAATATTTTATCTATAGAGAGTTTGGACCAAAAAAATAAAAAGGTAATATAAAAAATGATTAGATACGAGCCTAAGAGGATTGGGACAAGAGCTGGCCCAAAATAAATCTAGTCGAGCCTAGGCCTACAATGTCCGGCTCACGTACTTAATCCTTTTTTATTGTAATAGACAGATAACATGTTATCCACTTGAGCAGATAACATGTCATCACCTTATTCAAATTTTAACAATCAATAGTGCTTGGAAAGTTGTGTTTTGTGTTCTTGCACTTTTTAAAAGCTGATTTTTAAATTGTTTTTATTTAAAAATAAAATTTTTAGAAACTTAAATAAATTTATTTTTAACCTTAAAATATTATAAAATTAATAAAAAAACTAATTCACAAAAAAACGTTTCTAAGCTTCATTCTATATTTTTTCAGTTAGATGAGAGTTTCAAATCACCTTTACAGAACTTTATTATTTATCATGAATGCATTAAAATTAATTTTTTTTGTTACTTGAATACGAAAAATGAATCTTTTATGTAAAATGAATAGTCTTTTAATAAATATTCATAAAAAGCTCAATAAAAATTGTCTTTCATTATTCATCTATTTCTTTGATTTAAAAAAATATATTTTTTTAGAAGAATTAGTTTTTTTAAAATATAAACTTAACATTATCTAAAAAGTAAGGTTCAATAAAAAAATATACAAAAAAATTAAAAAAGTATAATTAATATGAAAATTTTATTTAAATTATCTATAATAAAAAATAACAAAATATTTTTTTTCAATTAACATTCATGAGCATATTTTCTTATAAATTTTCATATTAGGTTCGTATATAATATAATTCACAAAGTAATTGTTAACATCATTATAAAAATAAGTAATATTATTTCAAAATAATGATAAAATTAGATAATGTTTTACTTATAGTGAATTTGAATCATAATATAACAAAATAAAAGGGTAATATATATATAAAAAAATCAGGTATTGACCTAAAAGAATTGGGACGCATGCTAGCCCCCAACAAATAAAGTCTGGGGGAGCATGGGTCTACAATATCAGGCATGCACACTTAGCCTCCTCATTTTTTTTTTAAATTTTGAATGGACAATATATTATTCGTTTGAGGAGATCAAATATCATCATCTAGCTCAAATCTCGACAATCAATGGTATTTGAAAAGTTAGGTTTAGTGTTTTGAAAACTCAAATAAATTTATTTTTAATTCTAAAATACTATAAAATCAATCCAAAAAAAATTATAGACCAATTTAAAAATACATTTCTAAGCTTGAATCTATATTTTTCAATGAAGTGAAAGTTTCTAACCATCATCTTTATAGAACTTTATTATTTAAAATAGATATATTGATACCAAAATTAATTGTTTTTGCTTATATATCAATAAATGGATTTTTTATGTGAAATAAATGAATAGTATAATCTATAATAATTTAAGATAAAATTTATAGTAAAATAATATGGTGTGTGTGTGTGTATGTGTGTGTAATTTGGCTCGTTCACAATAATAAATATAAAATAATGTTTGTTTTTATGTTTTGAAAAAATTTAAGATTCTTTTATTTTTTTTATTTCAGATTAATATTTTTTAATATTTTTATATTATTTTAATGCATTAATATTAAAAATAATTTTTAAAAAATAAAAAAAAATATTTTTAAATCACAATTATTCTTCCAAACAGTTTATAAATCAATTATCACACCCGTTGCATCAAACATAAATATAAATTACTGAGAATCCATATATAGGTATAGTAGGAGAGAAGTCCCATCGAAGCATGTTTTTTCTTTCCCCATCTCCTCGTTGTTTGTGACTAAAGAAGGTCATTTGTTGAGGATTAGTTGTGTCATCATTGTCTCTCTTACTAAATACATCACATAATGCCAAAGCTCTGGACGGAGAATTGTTTCCCAAACAGCTCCGTACATCATCATTCTTCTTCCCTTCTTAATGGTGGCCATAAAAAAAAAAGCTATGTGTGTGTGTAATTTGGCTCGTTCACAATAATAAATATAAAATAATGTTTGTTTTTATGTTTTGAAAAAATTTAAGATTCTTTTATTTTTTTTATTTCAGATTAATATTTTTTAATATTTTTATATTATTTTGATGCATTAATATTAAAAATAATTTTTAAAAAATAAAAATATATATATTTTTAAATCACAATTATTCTTCAAAACAGTTTATAAATCAATTATCACACCCGTTGCATCAAACATAAATATAAATTACTGAGAATCCATATATAGGTATAGTAGGAGAGAAGTCCCATCGAAGCATGTTTTTTCTTTCCCCATCTCCTCGTTGTTTGTGACTAAAGAAGGTCATTTGTTGAGGATTAGTTGTGTCATCATTGTCTCTCTTACTAAATACATCACACACAATTATTCTTCCAAACAGTTTATAAATCAATTATCACACCCGTTGCATCAAACATAAATATAAATTACTGAGAATCAAAATATAGATATAGTAGGAGAGAAGTCCCATCGAAGCATGTTTTTTCTTTCCCCATCTCCTCGTTGTTTGTGACTAAAGAAGGTCATTTGTTGAGGATTAGTTGTGTCATCATTGTCTCTCTTACTAAATACATCACATAATGCCAAAGCTCTGGACGGAGAATTGTTTCCCAAACAGCTCCGTACATCATCATTCTTCTTCCCTTCTTAATGGTGGCCATAAAAAAAAAAGTAATTTTTTATTTTTTATTTTAAATTTTAAAATTTAAATATTTTA